AATTTTAAAAGAAATTCCATATGTTTCTGTGAGACATCTAGTTAAATAAATTGCAGTGTTTAGATTTTATTTATCTCTTACGATCTGGTCTAATACTTATTTTCATTGCAATAAAGTTAATAAAATAATTCAGCAGAAAGGTTTGCAATTAGAAATCGCAATTTACAGGAAGAAAGTGCCGCATTTGAAGAGTTCTTTTACTATGCTTCTATTCTATTTGGCTATGGAAAACAACGTAATTTTGAAAATTGTTGATGCACAAAATATATTTCATAAGTAACTTCAATTTTTAATTTCAGAATAATAGGGTGAAGGGTAATAAATTAGGTGATAATCTAAACATACTATAGAAATTGCAATTTAAAAGAGAAACCCCGTTAAGGGGCCCTATGATCCAGCTTGCGAGGACTACCAAAATTACTTAAACCGACCCTAACGATACGATATGTTTTACCTAATTGTGGAGAACAGTTTTTCCTGCTATTCTGTTTACATTATAAGATTTTTTCGCCCTTCTTTCCGCATACCATCGTAGTGTAACTGCAAGCACGCTAATACGTATTCGGAGGATTCGGAATTCGAATCCTGGTGAGAGTACTGCGGATTTCTTGTTTCGTGAGTTCTAAAAAGCTTTACAAGGGGCGCCCGAAATAAAAGATGGTAGACAACAATTCGTCACTACCAGGATTTTTCGACTGAGCCACCTCATACCTAGTCACCCTTAAAAGAGAAAGTATATAAGACTTCTTTTCCTCACGTGTTTCATGTTTCCTGGATCGATTTAACCTAATGATGCTACGATACCGTAACTGATCCTGCTATTCTGTTACTTATATAATCGACTCAAAAATAGTAACCAATGACACAAATAACAGGATCATGTTCCGAAAATGTAAAGCAGGCGTTATTCACGGTGGTGTCAGTAACGTTTTACAAGAACGTTCTGAATTATGCCTATCTGTTACACCTTTTATCCGTATAATCGCACGTCAATTACCGGTATTAACAGTTTCCATTACATGTAAAGACAGTATAAAAGTGTCTCATAGACGGTATAGTGGTTAGGGAAGCCTACTACGATACCGAAGGTCCCGGGTTCGAATCTCGGAGAAGACATGAACGTTTGTAAATGTATAGTGTCGGTGCGGCATGGCGGCACTCTAAATATGCGGCGACCCGAAAGTCATTTCGTGGGGATTGGTGGAAGGGGAGAGGAGTGGGATATCCCCGGGATGCTCTCTCTCAAAATTTGGGGTGGAAAATAGAAGTCCAACCTCTCTTCGGAATAAGCTCTGGCAACCATTGTTCCATGTAATATGGACACGACAACAACAACAAAGTATAAAAGTTTACGTAGTAGAGCACATTAAAACGTGTCACATGGACAGTGTATGTTCATGAAGGGTATCTTTTTTATATGTTTAAGTATGATATTCATAAATGTCTCTTAAGAATAGTTTAATATATATAAATCAAATACGTATGTGCATTTATGGATTCTTTGAAATACTAATGTTACTTTAAATATCATTATGATGTAATAAATAAAGATGTATGCTTTTTAATATTTCACAATGCATTTAAAAAGAAAGCTAAGAAAAAGGATGCTTTCTCGTGAAGCATTCAGATGCAGAATTCAAAAACACTCACGAACATGCCCAATAAATAAATAAATTAAACTAGGGAAAGGGCACTCTAATATTTCTGTGTTAATGGATTTAAATTTTCTACTACCTTCCAATCATGAAGATCAGCTTAATTTCCAGATATATTGGACAAATTTCAAAATATTCGAATATACTTTTTAACTAACTTTTGTTTACTATCAGATATAAAATATTTCATCATAGTCGTGCTATGGTACGTTGATTTTTCTATGATAATTTTTTTCTAAAATTATAAAAACATTTGTTGATGTCGACGAGAATACGAAAATATGTTGGTTTTCTGCCATAATTATCTGATTAAATTTTGAAATTAAAGTAACTTTTGCAATGTGTGGAACTTACATCACTTGCAAGGAAAGCTGCTAGTTAAATTCTCGACTTAATGAAAAATTTTAAAATTAACACCTCCGTTTTTGATTAACTATTAAACTATTACCGTATAAAAACACTATAAAAGCCAAAACGTCTCTGCAGTGAATGTGTTGTAAATTGTAAAGTGCCTAGTAAAACATTTTTAATTTTTGGTCGATGGATTAATCAAAACAAAATGTTTTTTGTACGTTTACTTTTTTATCATCTCACTTGACTTATGGATCTGCACACAGTAGACTTTAGGCTGGAGCTCTTTCCGCTTCTCCATATGTTGTCCCACAGCACTATTTCTCTCAAGGACGAAATCACTTTTTTCCCTCAAAGTACTCTCCCTCAAAGTATGCCCTGCGGTCCAAAAAACGTATGTAACCAATCAAATCCTGAAATTACTGACGTCCGGCTGACTCTGACCTCAGTCATTCTTAAAGAAGAACGATTCGAAAGACCGGGGTTTGAGGTCATCAAGAACACCGCTAAAATTATTCCAGATCGAAGGGAAGTATTGATGTCTTTGTTTTATCCGCTCTACTAAAAGTGTAAGTATGCATATTTTCACATTTTTAATCGTATTTTTAATAATGAAAGTTTGCTAAAATTGTTTTGTATATGTCTAAAATCTTCCAAATGCTATAATCATGTTGATCTCAAACTTATCATAGCTGCCAACTCAAGTTTTCAACTCAGTCCCAGTTTTTCATCACATCTCAAGGTAAATTACCGAAATCTCGAGATTTTAAAGTCTCGAAATTTAAATCTTTACTAAAAAAAATTTTTCCCAGCAAAAAAAAAAAAAAAAAAAAAAAAAAAAACGAAATTTATCAAAATAATGAAATTTTTAATTAGGCGAATTGTATTCGTCCACCTGTAATGATTTTCATAATAATTTTTCTTGTTAAACTTTATTTCACAAAACTGTATTTTTTATTAATTTTATTGACCTTAATAAATTTTTCTTATCGGATTTCGTTTAATCTGAGTTGTTTTAATCTGCTGTAGACATCAGTAGATTTTTATGTGAAGATTTAGGCAATGTTTAATTAGTTAATTTTCGTGTTTAATTTTGTTTACTTTAGTACCTGGCATATTACTAATTTTATCTAGTGTTATTATGTATGTTAATTATTAATTTCACATGCATCGTATATTTAAAAATACTTTGATAAATAAAAGCTTTGCTTCACTACTGAAGATTTCCTCAGCATAAAAAAGCGAGGAAATAAAAAAAATGAAATTAGTAAAGAGCATAAATTTTAGACTATCTAATAAAATGCTAATGCATCTTACATCAAAATTGAATTACAAGTACTATAGTAACCTGAACCATCATGCATCATAAACTGAATCAAAGCGAGTTTGGAATTTCTTTGAAATGGTATAACCTCGCAGAGTGAAAAACCTTTCATTTTTCTAGAGCAAACCCGTCTTTAAAGAAAATCTCCCGTCTTTTAAGATTTTCCAAGGCTGGAAACTATGATCTGCATGCATATACGATTGTGTTTATGGCTTTAGAAATACAATTTTTATACTATTCAAATGTAGTACTGGTATTTTATGCACGTACTGTTTTCATTAAATTGTAAAGAAAAATTAAAACACTAAGAGAATTAGATAGATATCTTATATTTACACAAGCAATGAAATAGACATTTTTTATTATTTAGAGTTAAAAACTGAAATTTTGGCTAGTTTTTTTAACTTTTTGATAACTATTTTAGAGCAGTTTAAGTTCTCCAGCTAAAGCGGCAATAAATAAATAAACAAATAAATAAGTAAAAATTTGAACTTTCAATAAATCACTGGAACTGCACTGGAGCGATGTAAATGAAATATCTTCATCTCACATTGGTCTAAGACATTACGTACCAAGCGAATTTAGTCGTAAACCTAGAATGCTTTAAGAAATACAGAGTTGGAAGGCAACAAAGTTTCATTTATTTCTTTTATACACTAGGCCTGTTGTTATGAATTCAATTTTACCATCTGCTATGTACAACAACTTTCTTTTACTACATGTGGAAATTTTTATTTTAATAAAGCCTTCAGATATTGCTTTCTCTAATGATGCATTTGCAGAAAATGATTTAAGAGCTTTTGTTAAACACAGTATTCGATTACATGGGAAAATATTTATTTAATAATGTATAATGTTCTATCTTTGATTCATTTAATAAATGATGTTCAAATATTTGGGCCTCTTGACACTTTTTGTTGAAAACATTTGAACTTTTTGGGGGAACTGAAAAATATGCTTTGTGCTCTTTCAAAACCTTTGCAGCAGCTTGCACGCAGATATGCTTAACAAACACGTTTTGACGAAGAAAAGGAATCAATAAGTGAAATTAGCAAAATATATCGTTTCAACTCTCAGAATTTAAGATATCTGCTGACACTGGTGATAATTGTTGTTTATTTATAGACAAATCAGTTCTAATAATCAAATATCTGTTAGAAAATTCATCGGAAAAAGAAATTGTTTTTTTACAGATTTAATAAACAAAAAGAATTTTAGTCATCCTTTCAGTTCTCTAAATTTAGGTGTCATTATAATTTCAGAACTATCAATAAATTTAGAATCTACATCAGTGGAATCTGTTAACTGTATATATATGCTGCTAGTGGCATATAGGGATTATTATGTTTGTTATCCATTATGTTTTTAATCAGGTGTACTAACAGAGTTTCCCTCACCTAGAAAATTTTAGACTGCCATGGAAAATACAAAATATATTCAGAAAGTCAGGGAGGAATTTTCCCAGAATGTCAGGAAGGTTTGAGTTCGTATAAGACAAGCTTTTTAATGTTGATAATTAACTACATATAAAGTAAGATTGCTTCCAATTCAGTCTCAGAACATTTACGGATTTATTTCATTACATTCACAGAAAATGGCATTTAGCGTTGTACATTTGCTAATGACCGATGAAGTGGCTGTCGTCCAAGCAAATGAGTGTCAGATGATAAAAAAGGGACATGTAACTGGCCTTCGTATAAAGAAAGAAGTCACATGAAAAGAGCAATTCTGGAACACAGAGAACCAGATACATCCTGAGAGAATTTTTATATTGTTATCCTGGGAGAATATTGTAAGTATTCTACAAATGATTTTTACGTCTGTTTTCCCATATTAATTTAATTGGTAGGAAGTTTTTCGAGAGCATAAAATTGAAATAATTTGTTTTCTGAATTGAAACATTGAAATTTTAAAAAAAATGTTTTGATGCGTAGGAAAATGTATTAAGCATACTTTAATTTTTCTAAACAAATATTATTTATCCTTATTCTCTCTAATTAATTGTGCTCATATTATATCAGCTTATGTTTTAATAGTTTCGCTCCGAAATAAATCATATCTACATTCTTAATTACGGTTCATAGTAAGACTCTAATATTCAATATACTTTGCTAGTTTGTGAATTTTAATACAACCTCTTTAAAAACTTACCCATATATAAAATAATGGATGCTCAAAGGAAGACTGAACGAGAGATTTTAGCCTGCGGATCCATATAAATGTCAAATTCAATTCCATTGAGTGAAGTCATGAATCAGGCTCCAGAATGTTAACACTGTGTTTAAATTTAATTAAAAAACGCCTATCTATATATTTTATTTACAAATCTGAATAAAAATATAATTTTCAATAATAAGATTTGAGTTTTCTATAAGAAATGTTAAAGTGATTAACGATTCTAAACAATAAATATGCTGTTGAGTTGAAAGATGAGACTGTATCTAATGAAAAATGTATGCATTTTTGTAGCTAATTATGCTACAGTTGAATTTAAGTCCAAAAACGGCTTTAAAGACATTGAATTTTAGATTCAGGTTCAGACTTTGAAACACCAAAACAGAAGCGAAAGATGCCATTAACATTCTGATACATGTATATATTAATATACATGTATCAGAATATTAATTCTTCGGATGATAAATTAAATACAAAAAGAAACAAAACAGAATTAACTCCTACTAAATTAAATTATAGCTAAATAAAAAGAAATCCCTTTTAATTTTTCCTCATGCGGTAGTGAATTAAATTTTACTACACATTTTAAGCTTCTTTACTTAGTTATATTAATTACAGTAGTAGAAGATGTTTTTAATTATTTATTTCAGTTTTTATTTTTTTTTATAATTAAATCGAAATTATATGTTTAATTCCATTATAATAATTTTGCTTGCTGATTATTTTTTTCCTTTATCAAAGTTAAATTTTATTTTGAAATTTTGCATTTTAACAATTTCACATTATGAACGTTTGTCTATTATAAGATTTTTGAATTCTACATTTTTCTTTTTCTTGGTGGCTTGTGCTTTATGTCACTGTACTTTTTCAAGTTCTTTTTATAAAAAGTTTGTACTTTAGTAGTACTTTTATAGTACATTTTATATAAAAAGTTTCTAACTTTCAAATTAACAAAATTTGCTCTTTTCAAAAAAGTGTTGACTTTTTCATATTTTTATATATTGGGTAACTAATTTTGAATCACGTCAAAAATTAACTAGCTATTTAGTCATTTACTTTTATTTTTCAAGAATGTTCATTTCAGAGACACTTAGCGCTATGTTTAATTCCTCAGCATTAACTTTGCTTATTAGCTATTTTTTCACGATCTAAATTCATTAATCTTTTTTTGAATTTCATAAGTTTACTAAGTCCATATTTTCAAAATTTGGCCAGCTTTGCCTTCTCTGTGGTTTTGAATTCCGCATGTGTCTTTTTTTTTTTTTTTTTTTTTTTTTTTTTTTTTTTTTTTTTTTTTTTTTTTCATGTACATTATGTCATTCCTATTTTCCAAGTTATTAATTTTTAAAAACTTTTTAATTTAAAATTAATAAATATGCTTTCACTTATTCTTCAAAATCTTCTAAAGAAGGCGCGTTAAAAAATACTTCAAAAGGCGAGTCTAGTCTATTTTGTCATTTATGTATTCGATTTTGAGTCACGTCGGAGCAAGTGATATCGTGATAAATACTGATTTCAGATACTTGCAGTTTTTATCATTATTTTAATTTGCCTCATCGGTTGCTAAATGTATAACACTAGCGAAGACTGGGAGTTCGTCTTGGCTTCTATTCCAGACGAACGGTTTTGTTGCGTAGTTGGTTTTCGTGGTTTTCCCATGAGTAGCATGAATACGAGCCAGTTTTCCTTAGAAATTCCTCCACGAATTCATTCCCTCCCTTAGGCAGATATCACTTGTACACTTCGTTATATTCGAGTATCCTTAAATAATCATTAAATAATTTTTAAACAGTTTTAAATTTTTTGAAAAATTTTAATTTTGAATTAAGGTTTTGGTCTTTTAATTCAAAGGACTCTTTGATTACTTGTACAATTCATCCAGATATAATTTGATTTCTCTGTTTATAATTCCATTTTCTTTCGGCTGCTCTTTGACAAACACCGAAGATATTTTTTAATTCTTTAAATTTCATGCGAACATTGTTTTATTTATGTATTGATTTAATTTTGCTCCAATTTTGTTTTCCATGTTTTTGATTCATTCTTTTGATTTGTGACTTATTGTTACAGAGTTCATCATTTTAGATTTATATTAACTCCATTTGTTTGAATTCACATGTCTCTCTGTATGTATATATATATATATATATGCAAGGAAGAGGAAAGTTCAAAAGCGATTGCTTAAAAGTACATTTGGAAATTAAAATTTTAAAATCAAAAAATACCCTTACTTCTAATATTTCACTTAATATGATCTTTGAGATTAAATCGCGATTTCAAAATACATAAAAATCATATTCTAACCATATTCTAATCATATTCAAAAAAATTTCAATGATTTTTTTCAAGGATTGTATATTTTTCTTCAAGTGAATTTAACTAAATTCAAATAGTGACATTACAGAGCGTGTTAATTTTGTATTTCAATCTCGAAAATGATTGCTTTAAACGGCGACCATTTCGAGAGCATTTTGACATAACTGACGATATATGAAATTGAAGCGCAATTTGTTGGCGACGTTTGGTGCTAAAAACAATTCTTGACCAATAATCTTCTACAAAATTAATTTTAGTAAGTGTTATAATTTGTTTGCTATTTCACTTTTAAACTTTGAAAAACCGTCAGTCATTTCTAGGATAACCCATATTGATTTTTTACTTTATATTTATTAATTATATACATATGTATAGATTTATATATATCCGTCGATCTGTTTTTTTTATATGTGTTAACTTTTCACATATCACATCGATAAGATTAGTTTTTAGTGCATTCACATGTTTTCCAACATTGATTCTAACAGTTTTATTTCGCGTGTAGGCTGTTTTTTTACCTTTCCATGTTAATATTTTTTTAAAAATTACTTCCATGTTAATATTTTAAAAAATACTGCGTTGAACTATTTTATGGAGCCACAGCTCCTGGTAACTTTTTAGCAAGCTCACTAGAATATTTCTTCCTATTATTTCATATTTTTGCAGCATTTTGCCCAAAAAAAATTTTTAAGACCAAATAGGTCTTACGTCAAATTACTTGTTAGCTTTTCAATTTCTATTTCAATTTATATATATATATATATATATATATATATATATATATGGCATTGCTTATTAAAAGTTTTTTGTGGTTAAAATTGATCAGATCTATTTTAGTAGAATCTAATGAGTAAGTATTATGTTGCGCTTCTTGTAGTTGTTCTCCATCACAGGTTTAAAATCATAAGCACTCATTAAATGAATCATGAAATAGCTTTAGCACTACTGTTATATTAATAGATGTAATTGTTGCCCCAAAATTTGGCTACTCGGCTTTCCTGAAGTCTATTGCTCTAAAAAAAGAAAAGTCTATAGTAAAATGCTTTATTCAATTTAAAACAAGGGTGCCAAAATTCCTAAATACATATTTGTAGGAATGAATAGAATTACATATTAAACGTTTTTCTCACTTACACATTTCTCCATTTACGTTGACAAATTTTCATGACTAAATACTACTTCACTTTTTGTTAAGATTATTTCACGTTTAATTAGATACCTGCGCAAATTTAATACAAATAAAGCACATTTAACAACATATAATGACACAATTCTAACTAATCAATGCACTAATCTCTAATATTAAATTGAATTTACATTGTAATTTGATTTTAAATTAATTGTAAATCTCTCATATTAAATTAAATTTTAATTTGAATGAAACACTAGGATAAAAAGTTATTCTGATTACTGAAATGTATTCATATATGCAAAATGTAAATAGCAAATAATATTTCAAATCAAATTTCTCAATTTTATATTTATACTTATTATATGTATAATAAATTTTAAAATATTTAGGGAGTCATTGTAAGATATTTTTGCTTGTGAGTCAAAGTTCTATTTAATTTCCTTAACATTCGTATTAAAATACATATATAGTGTGTATATACATACACACACACACACACACATATATATATATATATAATAATTTATTTCCTAAACAATATTGATTAATTGATTATATTATCTCCTAAGTTTAATTAAAGTAGAATTATTTTAAAAGAGTATATATATATATATGTAAAAATACGTTTATCTTTTACTACATGCATATGCACATGTAGTTAAATTTTTATCATAGTTGCACTGTATTCTGTTATTTTAATATAAGCATTTCAAGGTGACAGTATCCATCCATGCTCCTTATTTTCGTTCGTAACATATATGTTGCCATCCCTTCAATGAAATAATTTTTTCTACTCCATGACTGTAACTCATATGAACCTTTAAGTGCGGTGCCGAAATAAAAGGAAAATAGGAAAAACGAATCTCCAGAATCGAAAATCTTTTGCAGCACATGTTACCCTTGTTCACTAGAGAAACTAAATGGGGAAATAGCTACTTGAAAGAAACAAACAATTCGACATTTTTTGTTTGTAATATTTCATAATTTTATGACCATTTCATTCTTTTCAAATATTTTAACTAGACCAGCATTTCATGATTTAAATAATCCATTTTCGTTTCTTTTCTGGCAAGGAAACAAATTTCATTTTTTTATTGTTTATAATGCTATCTGAGAATGCCAAAAAAATGAGGTATTTGTATTGCAAACCTCAAAATCTTTAACCAAAAATTATCTGTTAAAAAATCCTTTTTCTTAATTCCATTATTTTTTAGTTCCCGTTTTCTAAATAACAGTTCAATTTGCAATTATCTAATTTTTGAAAAATTGAAATTTATCTAAAATTTTGATTTTTTTAAAATCAACTCTAACGGCGAAATCTCAAATTGAAGCATTATTCAATAGTACTATTTCAAGATAACATAATTTTACATTAAACCGACCACATAGGATGAAACAGCATCGCTTTTATTAAAGTTTGAGAAAATTTATTATTTCTTGATTATTTAGTTTAAAAAATATTTTTTTTTATTCTTTTAGGTGCTTTCAAAGAAAATCGGGCCACCAGAGAGGTACCTTGCAATATTATTGAAAATATTATAAAAGACTGGTTGAAAAGTGTTTCATTTAGAGAAAAGTATCATAAACAAAAAGGAAAATGTACAACAGAAGGAAGTTTGTAAACAATGGAATAAAAAATTTGTGTATTAGCTTGTACGAAAATACTGTAATTAAAGTTATTAATTGTTCAGTTTGTTTCCTAACTTTCATGAAGACTTGGATTGGTAGAGGATACTTAGCTTAAGCAAATATTGTATCTTATACATTGTATTACTGAATATGAAAATAATTAGTTCATTGAATTTGAATGTTTGATTCTAGAAGAGAAATTTATTACATGAATATGCAATATGGAAATTAATTTCATTACATTTCCTTTAATACTTTTAATTTTGCTTTAAAATTTTATGAAATAATATAAAACTATCAGTTTATAGATTTTGGGAATTTAATGCATTCCTAGTAGCTGAATTAAATTAAAACCTTTTGCAATAAATGCTTCAAATTTTAAATTATGACAATAATTATATTTTAACTGAAAATTGCTTGTTAAGAACCTTATCCATTGACTGGACCATCCACTGAACTAATTTTATAAATCAAATTTATGGCAAAATAATGAATTTGTGAAAGATATATGTCATTTTATTTGTTTATTAACTTTCAAAATACGCCTTCTAACTTTATAAAAAAATTACATGGACAGAAGTAATTTTAACAGAGAACTGTTTAGTACAGTTAAATTGCTTGTAAACAGAACACAAGAAAAATATTTATTATTTTTAAAATTTGCATACATTTAAATGCAAACTTTTAAATTTATTTTAATGACAAGAAATATCCAAGCATTCACTTTAAATTCCCATCATCCTGATGCTTTTAGTCTACTGCAATGACAAAAACTCTAGACAGCAGTAGTCTCATATAAAGTTTAAGTACAGTTATTAAACTGGCATATCAGAGCTTATTAGTGTTGAAAGAAAACAATTTGTTTTTAATTTACTGCAAAAAAGTACCGAGGATTATATTTAATAAGAAATAATTATTTCGTCCAGAATATATACAGTCTCCCATTAAAATAGTTTGGTGTATATGATCACATGAATAAGGTTTCAGAATTTTGAAAATTGCAATGATTCTGGCCATATATTAAAAATCGTGATTTGCAGTCTGATTCCTTTTCCTTCCAGTGAGAACAATAACTTAATTTCTTGGTTAATTTATTAAACTTAAAATACATTTCTATCATTAGAACTGTAACAAATCTTGTTTTTATATGTAGTTAATAAGAATGGTGTGTAAAACTTCTATGGGAATATAAGGTCTAGATAATATTGCATTGGAGGAATTGCATGTAAATGTAGAGAAAAAGTGTAAAGTTTCATTAATAAATGGCATGTATGTAATGAACTAAGAGAATAGAAAAAAATAATAGAATTTGAATTTTGATGCACATATAAAGCATAACATATATTTGTAAATGTAACATTTCAGGCTCAACTCTTCAAACAGATAATGTCTTTTCCAGAAAATTGCAGTGTTCTCTTCCGTTAAAGAAATGTAAATTATTATATGAATTCACTATTTGGAAACTAAGTTTCGCATTAGACGCAAGTATTACAAACACAAATATTTCATGTACTGTTGTCCTTCAGAGTCTGTACATATAGACCGGATTCAGAACGTTCTAGTTAGACGTAACTCAAAACGTTCTAGTTAAACGTGATTCGGAACGTTCTTTGCATGTTATACAGAAGTGTTAACAGTACAAGTATTTGACGTGGTATTGCTCGTCATAAACCTTTAATCTATAGACGACATTCAGAACGTCTGCCCAAACGTTAAGAGAACGTTCTGCTAGCACGTTATAGAAACTTTCAAAGAACGTTCTAGGAACGTTATATAAAATTATTACTAGTACCACATCATTTTGACGTTCTATTGTCCATTAATGAACTACATCTTACAGACGTAATTCAGAACGTTTTGCCTGAACGTTAAAGAAACGTTCTGCTAGAACGTTAAAGAAACGTTCTGCTAGAACGTTGAAGGAACGTTCTGTTAGAAGGTAACGGAGCTTCCATATAACGTTCAAGGGACGTTTTATAAAATTGTTAGTAACACCATTTTTTGACGTTCTACTACCCGTTATTGAACTGTAACATACTGACGTGATTCACCACGTTCTGCCTGAACGTTAAAGGAACGTTCTGTTAGAACGTTAGAAGAACATTCATAGAACGTTATAAAAAAGTGATAGTAGTACCACTTTTGACGTACTACTGTCCGTTATTGAACTGCAATACATAGACGTGGTTCAGAACGTTCAGGTAAAACGTGTCCAAAAAACGTTGTACTAGAACGTTAATGACACGTTGCATGAAAGTGTTACAAACACAAGTATTTGACGTGTTATTGCCCGTCTTAGAACTGTAACATGTAGACGGCATTTTGAACGTTCTGCTTGAACGTTCCCGACACGTTTGTGAAGCACTTGCTTACTCTTGTGCAGGGGATTTGGATAAAAATTAAATTTCAATACCCTCCAAATCAAAAAATTTCTCTTTTGATTTTTTTTTGAAGCCTGTTGAACTGTAGATTTTATAGATGATTCGAACATGAAAGGGTAAAAAGTTATAAAATTATCCAAAAGTTTTTTTTTTTTTTTTTTTTTTTAATCTAAGCCGAGAATTTTTTTTCTTTCAGAAATTTTTTCCCAGCCGACTCGATTTTCGATTGGCAACACAGCACTATTTTGTTTTAAGAATGGACACTATCTTTACATTTCTCAACATTCCCAGTTTCGTATCAGATGACTGTGAGCTGTTCAAGAATGCAGATCTGCATAACAAGATTTTCTAGGAGAGCGATTTGAATTTGTTTAAAGTGGAGGACATTTTCAAGATTTCCCCCCAACTTTGGACTCATCAAGAGGTGAGTTTAGGTTTCCAAGATAGGATGAGAGAGTGACCCAAAAAATGGGTCTCTGAAGGAATAGAATGCATTGGTATTGAAATATACTGAAAAAACGGGCGTTTGAGTCAGTTTGTAGACTATTTCTATACAAATTCCGCCGTATAAAATGACGTCATCGTTGAGTCCAAACAGAGTCGACCCCGGACAGAGTTGTCCCCGGATCGCATCTCGAGTTTTATTTCCATTGAATCTATGCTGTGAACCCATTGAAAACGGGCGTTCGGGTCGGTTTCTAGACTATTTCTATACAAATGGAGCTCGATCCAAGAAAAAGGATGTCTTTTTTTATTTTCTGGACAGCCAATGGGTATTGGAATATACTGAAACGGGCGTTTGAGTCAGTTTCTAGACTACTTCTATACAAATTCCGCCGTATAAAATGACGTCATCTTTGAGTCCAAACAGAGTCGATCCCGGACATCGATCCCGGACAGAGTCGTCCCCGGACAATCTTGACAATCGAATTTGTATATATAGAAAATAAACTGAAAATGATCTTGAGGGTTGATTTCTAGAATATTTCTATACAAACTCCGTCGCATCTAGAAACAAAAAATAAATAAATAAAATAAAGTGTCTTTTTTGGATGGAACAAATTTAGGATAAAGTTCTCTCTTTCTCTCTCTCTCACCCAAGATTGGATGAGAGAGGGGCCCAAAAAATGGGTCTTGGAAGGATTCGAATGCATCTTGACATGCACTCATTCCTTTCAAGACCCATTTTTTTGGTCTCCCGATTCAACTCTCTGGCCTATTCAATTGGGAAAGCGGAGAACCTTTCTCTTTCACCCAAACACTGGAGACTAGAGCGCATCATCATCATCATCATCATCATCATACTTTTCCATTAAGGCTTGTTGGGTGATTTTGGGGAGATGATGGACCCCGAATTCAGTGAGGAAGAAGAGAGGACACTTTTTTCTTTCTTCTTCATCTTGCACCGTGTCTCGGAAGGTGATGTAAGTTTCCCCGTCCTCCACGATTTTCGTCAGAGGTCTCATGAAAATCTTACACATCCAAGGGAAGAGAAACTTGTTATGCAGGGATCTAGAGGCGACGTAGGCCGCTTCATCCGAAGTCAGGACTATCTGGTTCGGATGACCCCATTCTTTAAAGTAATTGTCCAATTCACCTAGTCGAAGAAAATGGTCTCGATAGGGGAAAAAGACTTGGAGAACACTCGTCGTATGCTCGCCGTTCGTAGGCAAGAGAGTCAAAATATCTTTGGCACTCCAGTACAGGAATCCCAGATCCACATACACTTGCACGTAATAGTCATCGTTATATTCCAGTTTAATCTGCATGGTGTTTTCTTTTTCTCGTTCTCACGACGAAAAAACAAAACTCGTCTGATATGAACAAGAGCTCGCTGGCGATCCGTTTATATAGACTCCTCAGAGAGAGTGGGCGGAGCGTAGAACAGGAGGAAGGACAAGGTTGATGAATCCTAAAATAGAAATGTGTATAAAAAACATGAGTATTTGTGAAGGTCATAGGAAGGTGAATATATTTTTTTTCCTAAAAAGAAAATCAAAAGTGTCACATCCCATACGACATGGCCTCTGAGAAGGTGACAGAGGGGTCAAGTGTCTACAAAGTTTATAAACTCTAGAACTATAACAACAACAAAAATGTTATCACGTAGCTTTTGAGTAGATGACAGGGGTTCCTAGGAGAAAGTCATATGTATACAAAGGATGTTTGTTTTTTTCGTTCCTCTCAATCCTTATCTCATTACCTTTGAAAAGGGAGTCATTTAGAGAAAACAAAAATTAGAAGGTCATAGAAAGAGGTTGACAAAGTTGATAAAATTTTTTCTAGAAGTCAACAGTCACGTTCCACATCACGTGGTCTTTTCGTATATATACAGGCGAGTGCAAGACAGCGCTTCATACTCTATTTTTCCAGAGAGAGGGAGACTACTGTGCGTAGCTATTTTTCGTATTTCTCTATTCAAAATGATGATTCGTGTCTTATATAATGAATTTGTGTGTGTTCGCTGTTATGTGGATGATGGAAGATTGTTTTGGAACGCGACGGATATTTTGCCGCTCATTCATACTTCTAGCAAAAGAACCTGGGACATTCTCTCCGTGTTCTTTGATGAGCACCACGTCTTCCGAAAAATCAAAGATCTCGAAAGTCTTGGCACTTCTCAAGAAGGATATGTCCTCTCCAGCGAAAAGATGCTTTACCTGGCCGAAAAGAATCCTAA